CCCCCCCCCCCCCCCCACTACCAAGACCTTGTTACAGAAACCCAATACAACATCCTAGGAACCCTTCCTGGATACCAGTAAAGGATCAGAGATGGCACCTGTCAGAGAGCCTTAAATTGTCCCTTTATTGGAGTGTGAAAAAGAGGAGAATAAGAAAACAGTGCTAAGCCAGTTTTTACTTGCAGTGTGTTGCAGTCCTATGGACAATGGGCACAGAGATTAAACAGAACAAACCAGCAACTCTGACTGCGAGATCATCTGTGTTACCTGTGCACCTGCAGGGAAAAGATGCTCGAGAGTCTGGAAGCATCCTTGTGCCAAATCATACAATAGTAACAGAAAACTTGCACAAGGTTTTACAAATCAGTTATTGCAGAGATAAAAGGTAACATTACCCTGACTTGCAGATTAGATTAGACTATCTGACTTTGGGCAAGTCATTTAATCTCTGTCCTAGGCAATCTGTGGCACAGTCTGGGTCATTATTTGCAGTTAAAAAGCCTCCAGAGAGAAAGAGGCTATGTTTCCTTGGGCACAGTGTTCTGACAACATGGCCTGCTGTCAGCCAGTACACCAGAGTTGTTTGGGTCTAGTCAGCTATCAAGACAGGCGATACTGTTTAAGACCTTCCAGACAGGTCACATCCACACTCTTTGGGAATGAAACCTCCATGTGGAATGATCCATCAGGTCTTAGGGAGCTTGTAAGACCTGAGCAGGTTTTGGCATCAGGACAACTTCTGCATCCCCAGTTCAAATACCTTTATATTCATATTGAGCGTAAATTGCAGGGTTTACCGCTCTTATGCAAGTTGGGCGCTGTGTTAAGCGTAAATGGCAGAGTTCAGGCAGCAAGGGCCACAGGGGTGACCTATATGGGAGGAGACCACGGACCTGTGCCAGTCAACTCAGAAACCCACATAAGCAGCCAAGCATGAGCTAAAACTTCAGCCAGAGGAGCACATGGCACCTCTATTCAAACATATTTAAGAAAGAGCAGCAGCTTGTAGGGAAGGAGACATGAGGACACATGTGATGTGTGGGGTGACCATTAAGGGAGACATGCTCTTGGAAGGAGGCATCCCCTCCATGCCATGGCCTGCAGGGACAAAAGCACAGAGAAAAAGTAAGAAGTACAGAGAAATGTCAGATAGAAACTATTCGATCTCTTGATGCTTCCCTCATTACACCACCCCTGGGATCAGAAATCTCTAGCAGCATGAGGGCTACTTCTAAAATCCCCGCTCCGTCTTTTTAGTCTAAAAAGTCACCCATTGCATGCTAGAATATTTGAAAGATGTGCTCCTGGGTTTAGAGGTTTGTAAAGACTTCTTGTTGGCTTGCTTTTTTCTGGCTTAAATGCCTGGCTGACCACAGACTTCATGGTTCCTTTCTGGCCTGCACTGGCATGGGACTTTGCCAACCCAAGCAAACAAAGTGGTAGTGCAGAGAAAGCACAGACACATAAAAGCTCTTTGTCTCCATTAGCTGACCTACAGGGAGATGGTTTTGTTCTTCAAAGGGCAGAAGTGGCTTGTTTGCCTCTGTTCTGTTCTTCTGTTGGACCTCTGCTGAAAATCATCTCCAGGCTACCAGAAAAAGAAACTTTGTATTTGGTCCATGCAAAACTGGATATAGCAGACAAATGTAACTGAGCAACCAGATGGATACCAAAAAATAAAAGCCTTCAGTAGACAAAAAGTAGATACTTACTTCAGCTTTACTGATCAGATCTCATCTTGGCCCGGCAGATATTTCACCAGTTAAAACTCTTCAATCCTATCCTGCCCTGGCATGAACACCTACACTTCAGCCCCAGTCCTAAAAGTAGTATCCCATTCCCAAACATACTTGAAATGCTTTCAGCATTACTAGCATCACACACCTTGCAGAATCTGCCCCAAACTTTCTGATGTCTTCTGCTCTCTAGGTCTGAGAGAGTCCGCCAAAGAAGAGGTACCAGTTCAGTGGTACCAGTGACTCCTAGCTTTGGCCATAGCAACGGTAAGCTATTGGCCCCTTGTCCCACCAGCCTACTGGTGTGCTATGAGCAATAAAGTGGAAGGAATCTCCTGCTGCATAAAGGCATAATGCATTTGGATCCTATAATATCTGTGCCTTTTACAAAAATACGTTTGTTACATTTTAAACTCAAGTCATTTGCCCCTTTTGCATTTGCCCCATTAGTAATAGCAAACTAGCTCCAGCCTTCTCTCTTTGAACATAGCAAAAAGCTGAACTATTCACCTCCTCCTCTACCTTACAGTGCACCAGGGAGAGGCAAGAAAAGGGCAGTCCAACTACTCACAACCACACTGAGATGTAACCCAGCTCCTGGGCCTTTGGCATAGTGCTTTACAGAGGAGCATTCCCACCAGTGTGCTCTAATTACCATTGATGTGGAGAAGGAGGCTGTGCAGGTCAGAGGAAATATAGCCTGCTTCACAGTGGCCTTGCCTGTGTTCAGAGCAAGTCTCTCTAGCAGCATATCTTTAGTCATATAAGTGTAATTGCCCCTCAAAAAGAAGGGGAGGTATTATAATTTTTAATTCATGACTCAAGTCACAAGAAAGCATTCTGTGTGGCCCAGCTATTTAATGAAAGAGCATTTCTGCTTGGAATATGTAGATTTTATTTTTGGTAACGCAGACTTTATTGATGTTTCCCAAGTAACCATTAAAAGTTGCTGCAGAATTGTAATCAGACTATAATAGATGATTCACATGTAATTCAGTGGTTTTGATGCACTTTTTAACCTCAGTCATGCTTAGCCATAATATTAATGATGGACTGCCACCCGGTGTCCAGAAAGGGCTAGAACTACACTTCAGCTCACAGTTATATGCATCAGAACAGCCTTGGCTGTAGCCTCTCTCAGCTGAATTTTCCCATGTCAAGAACTAGAAATGCCACTAGGTGCCATGTAGGGGCATTTCACAACATGTTAGTTTGAAGAAGGGATCTTCCCCTCTGCTTCTGGGATAAGTGGGTATATCAGCTCTCCCTCCTTTTGCTGTGAACATTACACTGTGTATTTTTACTGTCATGCTCTTCATGGGCAGGAATCCTTTTCTCTAGGAATTTCCAACCCAGGATATTTTTAGAAATCTCCATTTTGAGTGCACACCATACACTGCAGAGGAGTGATGTTTTCCTGGAAGTTTTCCAGCTACTCACCCTGTTTCCTATGGTGGAGTTTGGGGTTTGGTTCTTTTTGGAGGGGGTAGTGTTTTTTTAGTTTTGATTTATATTCTGATGTTGTGCAAGCAGAGACAAAGGAAAAACAGAAACAGTCTTTCTGTTCATCTCATGTGACTGTGCACTTGCCTAGATCCTGTCCCTAGCGGACTCAGGGATACTTCCTTGATGATGATGAGGTAGCAAAGTTACAAAATTTTCTGAAGAGGAATATATGCCATTGTTTTCAGCATCTCCAGTTCCTATTTCAGCAACAACGCTGCTTACTTTTAATATGGGGCTTAAGATCATTCCCACTCTATGAGAAAGGAACGGAAATGCTTTGCTGAATTTGGAAACTATGGATAATTCATTTTGCAAATCCCTATTTAGTTTAAGAGGTTAAATCTACTGTTTTCATTAACAGTAACTCTTGGAGCACAGCTAATGCCTTCTTAAGAACCCTAGACTCAAAAAGCTGGGATCCAGCCCATCTCAAAATTCAATTTCTGTAGATCTCAGGTTTTGTTATCTTTTCTTCCCCCTCCTCTGCCCCCCCAGCCCCCACCCCTGTTTCCCATCAAAGGGAAATGGTGGAGATTGCTGTTATCTCCCATGACTTTTGAAGCTTTGTCTTAGCTATCCTTTGAAACCAAGCACTAGCTTTACCAATATATATACTCAGGAAGCCTAAGTCACATCCCAGAGGAATTTAGGATCCAGAAGATTTCTGATTCATGAGAAGGGACCTCCTAGCCTGAGATGGTCATCATGGTTGTTATCCCAACTGCCTGCTGCTTCTCAGAGTTTCCTACCCCATTGTCCAGACATTTCAGGAGCTGCCATGTGAACAGCTGAGCAGCAGCAGGCTGCCCACCGGGATGTTTTGGTGCCACAATCCCCAGGCTGCACCAGTACACACAGGGCTATAAATGTAGCAGTTCAGCTACCGGGGACAACTGAAATGTCTGGGCAGTGGGGATGGGCACTTCAAGGAGCTGGGTGGGCCAAGCAGCCAGGACAAAAACTGCCAGCAAAGCTGCGCTCATTTATCCATCAGGACCTCTGAAGCTGTTATCTTACTTTCAACTGACCACAAAAGTGTATGCCCATTTGGCTTGGCACATAGTTTCTGCAGACATACTAATCCTTGAATTGTCCTTCCAGGACCACTGGATTCAACCTGCCAAGCTCTCCCTGCATCCATTTGCCATGCTGACTGCCCCTGAAGCTGCAGAGTATGCCTGGAAGCAAAGTGAGCACATTTCACCCCAACTCCCACAAGACCAGGGCAGGGGGACATGGGGCAGCAGCACCTGGCCCAGCAGGGCCACCAAGTTACAGCCTGCTGAGCTCCAACTGCTGCACATGGAAAGGACAGTGTAAACCTCGGTCTGTACCTATTCTCTTGCAGGGGGGAAGGTACAGGCATTTTCTCATTGTAGTCTAGAAATAACATTTAGCTCAGGCTCCTGAGCTCATGACAGTTGCAAAAGGAGCATTTTCCTCAAGTTGCGGTAAACAATAAGATTACACATTTCTGATGGGATCAGCCTTCACGTCTCACAATCACTTGTTTGTTCTTAAGCTTGGACTATTACTAGGACTTCTGCAAAGGTCAGTTATGCTACTGGCCAGTGAAAGAGTCACCCCCCCCTTCCCTGCTTCTTCTCCAAGTGCAGCAAAACAGAGTAACCCCGGGAGCATTAGGGAATTTGAAGCTGGAACCCCTTACCTCCAACCATACATTGCAGCTGATCCCATGCAGTAGGTCTGTAAACCAGCTTGGTAAGCCCAAGATAATGTGAGGCCCTTTCTCCCTCCCAAGGCGTCAAGTACCGGAGAGCAGCAGCAGTCTATCAGAAGACCAACCCTTGCTCATCAAGTAGAGCTAAGAAGGACAGCAAGCAATGGGACTCACTCAGCAGAAAGCAACAGATTGACAAAGTAGGTCTGAAGAATTGACACAAGCCAGCAAAACTGTTTTTGCAACACTACCACTGAATGTCACACCTAGAGTGGCACCTCAAGCCACTCAGAGCCCACAAAGCCTTTCTTTGTCTGCCCTGCTCAGCACTCTTCATCATGAGAAGTTTCATAGTAGCGCTAATTTATTATACAGTGTCAATGCTAAATTGGAGTTTCACAGCAACTGTATCATACCTTAGCAGGAGGTGTCACTCATGAGCTGGCAAGTCAACTCCAGTAATACTCAACATACACGTGGAAGACACTCTCATGGCTAATACCCCTGCAAAACACATTAGCTATCACTTTCAGGTTAAAAAACAGCTGAAGGCTATTTTTTAAAAAATGAAAAAAACCCTGACTCCCTAAGAACCCAGTAATGTCAGATTAGCCTAGCATGTTCATGAATTAGGCTCTGCCTTTCTATTTGTCCATTATTTGCTAAAGCCTATTGTTTGCTGCAACTCCACTAAGCAGGAGAGCTAAGAAAACATTCCTTGTAGCAGCAGTGGGGCTGGATTTCACCAAGTAGAGGGTCTCCCCCACAGCCTCGAGTTCAATGAGCATCACATGTCACACAGCAGGAGAGAAGCCATGCAGTCCCCATTTCTCCTGATAGATTCAGCCCTGCATGCTGTGCTTGTGCTTATTAACATTTGCATCCTGCAGGGAGCTACAGAAGCAAAACAAGGAATCTCTCCAGAGAAGCCTGGAACAGATCCAAAAGCAAAGAATGCAAGGGAAGCAAAGACATAACAAAGATCCAGAATTCATGTATCTCACTTAGCTGTAGGTGAGCTAACTGATGTCTTCTGCTGTTGCTTTGGTAATGCATTTGTGACTTGTGGTTTGGGTTTGGTTTTTTTGTTTTTTTAAATCTTAGCAGTCATTCCTTCCTTCCCGCCCCTTATATTCCCTCCCCTTCCCTTAGCCACCTCTCTCCTGTTTCTCTGCCAGTGTGCTGGGAGCTTACATTTTCCCAATGCATCCCTACTGCTTCTCAACCCACCATGCTACTCTAGAGCCAAAGAGGGCATGCAGCACTTCAGAGACAGGGAGTACAGACTTCCCCATGTCCACAGTGCTGTGCAACTCTCACACATGATCCAGAGTGGGGCAAGAATGAGCTTCCCTGCATGTGACATGAGGGTTGTGCCTCTCAGGATGATCCCATTTTCTTCAGCTCTCCCCTTTAGCCATCCTACTTTCTTATTTCCTTAAAGGACTTAGCTAAAAAAGAAAAAAAGCCTCTCCCTGCAATGCCAGTGTCCCTGCAGTGCCTGTGTAGCACTGAAGCCTGTCCTTCTATTCCCCATTTGTAGGTCTCTAATGGTTTGCCTCTGTTATGTCCGTGCTGTGCTGCCCAAGAACACTCCCCATTTCCTAGATGGGCTGTCACAACCCTCATCCTTGTATTAACTTTATCTTGGGGTAAGAGTTGGGTGCACATGGTTGTCCTCCTTTCACGTCCTCACTTCCTCTGGCTGGAAGGAACCACAATGGGGGTGGTAAAACACTGGAGTATTAACTTTATCTTGGGGTAAGAGTTGGGTGCGCATGGTTGTCCTTTCACGTCCTCACTCTGGCTGGAATCCTGGGCACACAGCATGGGGTATTTCCACAGGACTCTTTCTACTGAATTCCACAGAAGTTTCAGGGCTCAGTGGGGTAGGAGAAATGTTCACTGCCGAGAGGTGCATTGAACACTAATTGCAGGGTAGAGAGACTCCATTAGAGCTCTTTACATATAAAAATTATAGAAATGAAGATTCCCAACTACTTGTAGCCAGGGAATAGACATCCATCCAAAGTATGGTCACATATTGTACAGCTGCATTAACCCATTCCTTGAAGATGGTCCCGTACTCTCATACAAAATATCTGCTAAAGGAAAAACCAATAAACACTTGTGAAGCAAAACCATTTTTCTTCTTCTGATTGCTGATTCTCAGTCACTGAGTCTATTTATGGAGATGCCAAAAGACAGCACTACGCAAGAAAGCCTGGGAATGGTTAAACATAATTGGGGATTCAAGTTTTAGGAATTTAGAGTATTTAGAAGTCCTCATGGACTCAAAGCTTGTTTTCAGCTCACCAGGTTCACAGCTTTTTATTTATTTTTTTTTTTAACCTCACAACTTTCCTGTTAAAATCAGTCTAAAATAAAATGTAGTTGCTGTAAACACCTGTCCTTTCAATTCTGAGCTGTCCATGGGGAAAGACCTAACCATAGCTTGGTACATTCAAAAATTACAGATTAACTGGTGAGTCTTTGTGCTGATATTGGTGGGGCTTCTTGGCCGTACCATGCATCCCCCTCACTTTCCTTTCAAGCCTTGTGAGCCAAAATTCAAGGCCTACAGGAGTCAGACGAGGAGGCTAGAAGGGACTTAAGATCAAGAGCAACATCGCCCTTCCTTACCCAGAAACTCTTTAGCCATGAATTTCTGCAACATCGGCTGTTTTGGCCTGGTTAGTCCACTCTGCAGGAAGCGGGATTGCTGGAATGCACTATCCAACCCCATTTAGCAGTTCCTACCTCTCCCCCATGGCCCGTGCTCACTGCTGGGACAGGCCTGCACTGTCACATTCAGCACAGCCTCATTCCTGGAGTTCAGAGCATCCATCAGCTTCTAAACAGAGGCTTCTTGCAAACAAATTCAGCCAGGCAGTAGGCAGCAGCCAGTGCCAGGACCTGAGCAAATTTCATTCCAACTCACAACAGCATCAGCCTGACCCTTTAAAAGCCAAAGCAGAGAGAAATTGTACTTTGAAATGAGGTCATTACAAGAGGGGAGGAGGGGATAATGCTGCTGAGTGCATGAGTAGGAGAACAATAGCAAGGGGGTGGTTAAGATTAAACAGCTAGAGAGAGAGAGATTAACATCTCATGACTGATTTTTGTTCATTGACCTGCAATAAACAGTAAGACTTTAACAAATAGGTGATTAGCCGTTGTTATTCCAGTGCTGTCTTTGCTATTAGAGTACTGCCATGGTCTTCGCTTTTCATTGGCTAATACTTCCTGGGTTTTACAGATAAGGCTGGTGGAGTTAGGAGGAGTAAGCAACAGAAATCTTGCTATGCCAATAAGCATAAAACCAGTGTTTTATTTTCAGAGTGCAAGTACCTGCCCCTTTGCTACTCCCACCCTGTTGGCTGGCTGGTATCTGGTTGTCGCACACAAAAATCAAGCCCAGCAGATCAGGTGGTTTGTGGTTCACATGTTCATATCTTCAGACAGCTAAAATCAGGGAGCTGAAAGGTGCCTGTAAATGTGTGCACAATGGGACTGGTGAATGACAGCCTTCTGCCACCTCAACTGAAACTTCCTCTTTCCTAAGCTATAGTGTCTCCTGGATAAAAAAAAAAGGCTTTGCTGTGACCAGACCAAGTAGCCAGGACAATTGGAGAATCTTTTCTCAGCTACACAAAAAGCAATGGACATAGTTCAGAGCTCAGATCAGATGCAGAGTTACAAATTTGTTCTACAGGACCCAGAAGAGACCTCTGATATATGTGCACACTTAGCGACAGTTGTCACATGCACACAGTCAGTGCCCACCACTGCACTTGCAATACCATCCACAGTGGGAAAGGTAAGAAACCATTCTGGGTCTGTTCTTTGTATGTACCTGAAATCATGTTTTACAGCAAGTGAGGAACCCTCTGGCAATTTAAGAGCTGCCCATTGTACCCCAGAGACTGATTCCACTCATGGTGGCAACTTGCTGTTGCAATCCACAGCCCAGTTTATGACACAGAAATCGGTGATGGTTTTAGCTAATGCTCTTGGCTGTGAACAACACAGCAGCTGAGGCACAGACATACTGCCTGTGGGACCACAGGTGCTAACTTCTTAAATTGCCCCCCACAAGATTGTGAGTCAGAGTTTTTTGACCATAGCCAGAGTTACTAGAGCATTGCCCATGCAAGCAAGCCCCCATTTCCCCCTCATTTCTGCTACAGTAATCCTGAGTTCAGACGTGTCACTACTGATTCTCTAGCTATTCCTGAAAATCCTCACTCAATTTGGTGAAGACCTTTTTCCTAGTCAAACATCAGGTGGAAACACCTAGCATCCATCCTGGAATGGCAGAATACCCCTCTTTTGTGCGAGAGATTGGTTTAGCTGTAGGACAAAAATAAAACCCATCTGTTTTGAAAATAATCGTTTTTGTCAGGATGGAATCTAACATATTAAGTGCATGGGACTATATATCTTCAAGAAGCAGCCAGCAGCAAGAGCAATTACCAGACCAGAGTCAAAGCAATGAGAAATTGAGTTTTCCTCAGTCTCTCTAAAACAATGTAAAGGATACCGGCTCCACAAGGGGCATGGTTGAACGATTGAGCATCTCTGCTGCATTTCCTATATCTAAGAATGGTCAGAGGTGCTCAAAAGAGGAACTAGCCCAGACTGGCTCCAAAAAGGCATTTGCAGCAAAGCAGAGTCAGAGAGAAAACCAGCTGCCAGATTCTGCACAGACTGTCACCAGGTCAGGTGCTGTTATTGAAGTAATCTGCCAGGTGCTTGCACACAGGTATTCCCGCTGACAGCGCTAAAGACATAATCCCTTCATGTGAAGCAAGTATGTGGTGTGGTTGCCAAAGACATCCGGGGCCAGACTTCATGGCCTTTCACGGGGACTTGCATTGTGATACGGTTGGACTCTATCTTGAGGGTCTTTTCCAACCTAAATGATTCTATGATTTTATACACAAGGGATTACAATTTGAAATAGAGTCAGATGTGACATTAAAGCACTGTGACAAAGTTGCACTCACTTTGTGTGTTGAGTATTTTGGGCGTGCTCACGCTACCTGTTGCCAGTTCCATTGAGTCCAGGTCAGCAACCCATCCAGCCTGCAGGCAAAAATCAAGCCCTGAACACTGTACTTACAGTAATAGCAACAATACATCAAGTACAACAGTCAAGCAAACATCATGAAGGCAGGTGGTCTGAGCTAACCCAGAAAGCTCAGAAGAATAGGGCTGAATATACTAAAGAGGACAGGAAAGTATCTAACCTGTTTGGAAATGGTGAATGCACATTAGCCCCTGTCATTTAATAAGGATACAGTTAAAAACAACATCAGTGAAGTGGTTTGTGATGGAAGGATGTGAAGGGGGAGGTTTCATATTCCCCCTATCCGTTTCCCCAGAAGACACCCTTGTCTTCCTCTTTCCTTTCTTCTCACAGCACTGAAAGCCCTTTTCTCTGGCCTGAGACCTTGTAAGCAAAGATGCACTCCATTAAGTCTCCCAAACCTTCCCCTGTTCTCTCTCCTTAGCGTCACAAACACTCATTTGTCCCACTGTAGGTGGAGACTATGTAGTTGCAAATAGAGCTCTTTTAAATAAACTAGATCTACAAAGGTGTTCATCTGCATGCCAAGTTAACTGATGAATCATGTTGACAAGGCCTTTGCATGCCTGAATGAGTTTCCCCAAATAATCTTACGGATTATAAATCTGGTTTCGGAGTGCAGTAGTTTCTTTTGATCTGAAGCCTCACCTACTGGTGATATAACACATTTGTATAACCAGCTTTGCCTATTCCATTAAGCAGTTTGGTTTTAAGGGTCTAAGATTTAGGTTCAAGAAAATGAGAGTCAGAACAGAACAAGTCAAGGTTTGTTCCAGCCCTGCATCAAACAAGAAAAAAAAGATAGAGGAAAAGTTCCGCAAGGGAGGAATACAGTTTTCCGTAACCTACTAGCTGTGCTTTAGTGTTAAAGAACTCTGCTTTAGTGTTAAACAACAATCCTTCCTAGTTCCAAATAGAGAGCAACTTGTGTTTAATGCAGCTTTCTCCTTTTGAATTTTTAAAACAGACTTTCAAAGGGAAAAAATTGAACCAACTGACTTATAATGTTAGTAATTCAGATACACTGATAAACACCTCATAAGAACCATTTGATTTCAATCTTTTTAGTCTTCAGGGATGCAGCAGTTAACCACACACCAGGAAGGGACTGAAACTTTTAATCAGTTTCCTCCTAGCACATTTGTGTTAAAATCTGTACACAATAGAAGGGATTAGTAGGCAAAAGCTAACACCACCACATGAGATGGAGACTTTTCCTGTTTCCAGCATAAAGTGGGTGACGAAGTATTGAAATGGAAACAAAGTTCATCTGCTCTCACAAAAGGAAAGATTGAACAAATACCGTGGGACAAACTTAGGTGAGAGGTAATCAATACAGAGTGGGGAAAGAGAGGAACAGACCTACATCAGAAACTGCACAGGCCCACGGAGCTCGATAGCTTTCAGGCACAGGATGTTCTGTAAAAAAAATCCTTATACACACATCCCCCATTGGGTCAGGTGCACCACAGGAAATAGTTGGTACCAGCTGAAAGTGTAGTCCACTCCACAGTTACACGATAATTCTCTTGCACGCAGCATCAGCAAATGCAGCCCAGAACGCGGAAAATAAAAAGAGTCCCACATGGTAAATGCAATTAACGCCGTAGCTGCAATAAAGACAAAACATGAGATCTCCCCACAGCTTAGAGTGGGCCCTTTTGTGTTACTTTTTGCAGATGCAGCATTAGAACTATGGTATATAAAAGCAACCACAGTGTTTGCTCACAGCTCTCAGCTTTCACCTCATCAAATGCCAAAAATGGGAAAGGTAAGTGGAAGCACCAGTATGCCAGTACTCTGCTCTGACACAGACACGGGGATTGACTATGAGTCTTTGCCAATGTTTATATCGCAGATCATTTTTTATGAAGACAAGAGCTTCTGGGGCCGCAGCTATGAATGTAGCAGTGACCACCTTGACCTGCGATCCTGTGTGAAACAGTGCAGTTCCATCCAGGTGGAAAAAGGCAGCTGGATGATTTACAAGAATCCCAGTTACTCAGGACACCAGTACTTTTTAAAAAGGGGAGACTATCCTGACTTCCAGAAGCGGATCAGTCCCTGCAACTTCCTCAGGTCTTGCCGTGTGATCCTACAAGTGAGTTCTGCTTGGCAGTGTATCATAGTTTAAGAAATTGGGTGTGGTTTACCCTTTAAGAATATAATTAAACAGTCTCTTCACATAACTCAAGAGACAGGCAAAGTCCAGTAAGGCAATGCAAAGTTTCACCGGAGATGAAGGAAATAAGCTGTTTAATACCAGTGCTATTTCCAGGGCCTGTTCATAGCTTGGAGATGCTAAAAGAAAGCTGAGTGACTATTTCTAGGTAGAGAATGTTTTTACATTGCTCAGGGAAGGGCTAGAAGGGCCAGCTGATAGAAAGTTCTGCTGTAGGCTGATGGGTGCAACTCGCTCATGACCATACTATGTTGTGATTCAATGACACAAGAACATGTTGAATCATATTTGCAACAGGTATGGTTCTCCTAACATAAAAGCAGTGTTGATTAAAATCAGACAAGGAATTAATACTTGCTAAAGTACTTCTCTGGATAGTAAGATATAGTATAGAGCATAAGCCATAGCAGTAGGAACACGCCGCATGCCCGCACTTCACATAGCTCAGCAGTTTGCCACATGGCAATTGCCTGCACACCAGTGTATAATGGGAGCATATGGAGTAACAGTGAATGTCTCTTAGTAGCATAATTCTGAAAAAGCCACATTATTCATGCCTGGTCACGAGTAACCGATACAGATCATCGCAAAGTCACATGAATATGTTTTCTCCTATTGTCACAATATAGAGTCCTTACAAATCCCATTCCTTCAAATCATAAAGCATCCTTCACTTACTTCCTACCACACATGTGATCATACCCATTTGCTGGCACTCCTGAGCTCCTCCATGCGGATATGAATTAAACCTCCTCTATTAGCTGCAAAAGAGTGAATCTCTTCACAATCCCCTCTCCAGAATAGACCACAGTTTCTCAGAAATGCACAATATAGTAGCTGGGAAAGTTGCCTTTTTCTGTACAACTGTCTTGTTCAGTAATGTCAGAATGAGTTAAATTTCTGTCTTTCCTACATTTTTGCTGTGTTTGCTGCTGCAGAATTCTGTTTCCCACAAGATTCAGCTCTATGAAAAAGAGGAGCTCCAAGGCCAAATGCTGGAGCTGACTGATGATTGCCCATCAGTCCCAGGCTACATCCATCTCCCTGAGATCTGCTCCCTCAATGTTTTAGGTGGCTCTTGGATCTTGTATGAAATGCCCAGCTTCAGGGGCCAACTGTATTTACTGAAACACAGGCAATACAGAAGATCCCCTGACTGGGGTGCACTAAATGCCAAAATTTTCTCTTTGCAGAGGCTGGCTGACTTGTACTGAGTTATTGCTCCCACGCTAAATAAGCACTGAATGCATTCCAAAATCCTTCTTCAAGCGAATGTTCCTTCACTACTACAAACAAATTGAAGTTGTTCAGTCCAGAGGGAAATCCGATTCCTCTCACATTTTAGGGAGAGAGGGCTAATACTTTAAAAGATATTCACAATTATTCAGCTGTTCCACAGTGTGTGATAATTTAAATAACTGTTGATGGTCCAGCTGCATATTGCTAACCCTGGTAAGTGTAGAGCTCTTCAGTCATTGCTTCACTGGATACAGCTATTAATGGGAAGGTCTGATTCTTTCATCTAAGTTTTCCCCAGTTTTACACATTTTGATCTAGGAGTAGATTCCAGCTCTATACTTACCAGGGTTAACAATATGCAGCTGGACCTTTACAGTTATTTAAATTATCATGTACTGTGGAACAGAAAGGTAAGTACCATTAATAGTTACATCCAGCGAAGTACTGACTGAGGAGGAAAAGGACAGAAAGATGCAGAGGAACTCAGAACAAGGTGTATTTGGTATCAAATGCTTCATGCAAACAAGGTGCTCCATGCTACCCCCAGTCCAGCAAAGCTTTCCAGTCTTATCCTAGCTGATTCCTCCAGAAAGAATTTTTCCAGATCCTTAAGTCACACCACCTTTATACAGCATGTTTTAGTGAACGTGTACTTCATGAACTAGACGTTTAGCTGGTGTCAATCGCCCTGCCTCTACTAACTTCAGAGCTACACTATCTGCTGCAGCAGGAGACTGAGCCAAGTACCTCATTTGCCAGGCTATTCTGCATGCAAAAGGAATTAAATAAGCATACCAGTGTGGATTAGTAACAGGACAACATCTTGTTGTGCTGGGAAAAGTCTATTGCAACGTTAATTATCATTCAAGTAATTATGCCTACTAATCATCACTGAATCCTGTGCCAGCAGGCACTCTGTGCAGTAATGAATCAGCTCCATAATAAAATAAAACACAGTTAAGGGATCTCACATCTTAAGATACCTCTTCTCATTTAGGCAGTGGAGTCTAGATATTTTCTTCCAGGCATGGTTAGGCAAATATACTACTGCTCTTCAGCAAGGTGCTGGAGACTTTGGGAAAGAGAAAGCAGTACAGAGAGCACAGAACTACTAGGACACTCTGCAACCTTATCTAGTACATGTTTAATTTTAAATAATTTCACTTGGGCTTTAAATGGCAGGCTCTGATTTTGTTTCGCCTAGTAAACATTCTGATAATGGAGTCCTTGAATAAAACCAAGCAGCTTCTGCCGCAGTGAGGTAGACTGCTTAAAATTCACATCTCCACTTGCTAATGTCAGAGACCCCATTTAGCCATTGTTTCACACTCACATGACCCATCAGCGAGAGCCCGTTAACGATCTTCACCAGCCTTTCCCTGACAACACTGGAGAGGAAAATAGAACTATTCTTTGCCCTTCTCGTCCTTTCTTTTGTACATGGGGCACTATCTCTGCCCTCCTGCCTGTCCATTACTGCACAAAGTAGGCTGCTCAGCTGCAGCAAATGTCTGGTGTACATAAGAACACCACAGTTCAGCCAGAGAAAAATGGAGCATGAACAATTCAGCTCTCAAGGCAGAGGTGTGAAAAACCATGTTTCCTCTTGTTCACAAATGCCTAATATTGCGCATTTATGGGAACTGCACGGTGTAAGTAATAGGTCTGTTAGCATGCTTAGGTTAGTGTGCTAAACCAGGTTTGCAAAATAACACAGCAGTTCAAGCACAGTGTCTACTTGCCTCCTTAGAACAGCGAACAAATGTATTTCATTTGCCTTCAGCAAGAATGAAATAAAGAAAAAACAGACCAGTTTCCCAGACAGCAATTAGCATATGCCTACGTACTCCCACAAAGTATCTAGTTCAATTAGTGCAATTGAGAAATACAGCTACATAATCATGTGTAGGTTACATGCTGGCATTCCTTTGGTCAAAGGCAAGAATGAACAGAAATGCACTATTCAGTGATCAGAGGGATAGTTAGTATGTCTGGATTCTTGACTCTGCTGTGTCCTAGAGTTTGGGGGTGGCTAAACCTCTCCAAATTCATCCACCTGAGACAAGACTGGTGGCAATTCCTAGTTTTCAAGGAGCACTGAGGGGTTTTACTTGCTTTTGTTTGCAAATGCTCAGAGAATCTCAGGCAGGCATTAAGAATAAGGGTGCTAGAGGAGAGGAGCACTGGGAATTCACAGAGATCATCCAAGTTTTCTCCAGTAAGTCTTCTATGTTCCTGTAAGCTTTTTTGATGGCTGATATCAGGCACCGCAGTTGCTGGTATGCAGGGTATGTTTCTCTACACAAACACTCTGCTATTTTCAGATTACCCCTACACTTGAGTTTTTCAGGGGCACAAAAGCAGTCAATCTCCACATAAAAGCAGCTGTCATAACAGCATACTAGTCGAGGGCAGTTGGAACAGATGTAAATAACCAGAGTCATCAGATCACGGATGCCATTTGGCTAACAAGATATTTTGGCTCCAGAGTTTAAGATCAACCCACAGCCCTTCCTGCAGTGCACAGCCCATCTGTGGCATTGGGTTCTGGGAGGGGAAAGTCTACAGGATTCAAGGAGAAGCTGGATAAGTACTTGGAAGACAAATCCACTGAGGGTTATTAACCAGAAAGAAGTAACCTCCTGCTCAGGAAACCTCTTGAGCTAAATTTTTACTTAAATTTTTACAAGTATTTACTTGAGGTCTTGACGTTTGAACGAAGTATCATATGTATTTGCTTCATATCTACCCTTCCTTCGGTGTCTGCTCATGATCACAGTTGTTGCCAAGTTACTTGACTAACTGGACTGCTGGTCTGACCCAAGATGGTTGCTCTATATTTGTAGCTGCAATAAGGAATTCTCATATCACTGCCCGTACTCTGGTCTCTCAAGTTCCAAACTTCATCATCAAGCCCAGTGCCTACTGTATTGAACTATCAAGGACCATATGGGATCCAAAAGGCAAGCCAGCTCCACAAACCAAACATGATCACAGAAAGAACATAAAAAAGTGTAACACTTCAGAGCCTGTCAAATATCTTTGAGAAATGCAAGCACAGGCCTGCACATAGAAGTTGGTTCCATAAGCAAATTAAATTTGCTTAGTATTAACCATCAAGAAGTTATGTTTGATCCAAAGAAAGCATAGAGGTATTCAAAAGCAACTGCTAGACTAAAATTCACACTCTTCCCTCAGTCTGCTTTCAGTGTTAAAGGCTACAATTTCCTGGCTGGAAAACACCCCCGAGAGAGCCTGGCAGGAGTGATACCATTTACAACACCCATTCGAAGCACAACTGGAGCTGTGTAAAAACAGGCCAGCTAAAGATTTGCACCTGAAGTTTTGTAGCTTCGTAAAATCACCATTCAAGACTCCGTGAAAGGCACATGCAACACGTAACAAACATGTAATGTTTTGGTTGAACAGGAAGCCAGTGAGACAAAAAGATCCACTATTGCTCCATGCAGTATGAGCAGGAAATATGAAAATGTGGCACTGCACCTGGTAGGATTTTGTGAGGGTTAGTTCAAACATGGGTGTGGAAGGAGAAAAAAGAAAAGCAAGCAGGAAAGAAAGGAATGGTCCCTGGGGAGAAAAAAAAAACAAACCAAACCAAAACCCCAAGATATAGAGAAATATTTTAAACTCCGTAAAAATAACTCAAAACTGTGCTGTTTATCTTTTTCCTTTGAAAACAGTCTTGGATTATTATTTTTTTAAAAATTCAAATAGATAACATTTCCTTGCTATTTTAACATTGGTTTGTACTTAGGCCTTGTAATCACTAGACTGAATGGAAAATACTTAAAAGGCCTATTCTAGCACTGGTAGCACAAAACTTTTACTCAGGTTATCTCCCATTACTCAAATGAGACATAAACTGAGGAAAAAAGTTCCTGCTAGAACACAAAGATGATCAGCAGCAGAACAACGTTACCTAAATAGCCCCAGAATACATCAGCTTCCACCTGCCCTTCCAACAAATTCAAAACAGCTCTGACTTTGGGGCTGCCTGTTGACCAGACTTCTAAAGACCACTGCAATGTATCGATTGACTGTGAATTGCACTACACTGTATCAAACAAAAGCCCAGAATGAACACAGTCCTGAGCATTCTTGGGATTAATCAGATCCAATTGAAAACTTACCACAATGTTCTTCCTAAACAGCTTTTTTTTTTTTTTAAGTTCAACTGCAATTACAATTTCTTCAGCTGAAGAAATTACTATGCCGTTGCATTTTGCCTCAATGACTCATACCTGAGCTCCAAAAATCTGTACATCTCTCAAGTGAAACATTTCTCTGTGCAGATTTAAAAAGGCTCTTCTCTGCCTTAAACAAGTGGCATCCATCCTTCAATCCTTCAGCTTCCAGTCTCTTTATCTATGAATTCTGAATTACGTTAATAGACAATTTCAGCAGTGGTTGGATGTAAACGTCCATTAGCACACATTTTTGATTACATCATTTTCTCTCTCATACACAAACTCTTACTGTTAAAGGAAACAGGCAGCAATACCTGGTCTGAAGGCTCTTGAAAATCAGGACAGTTTTTATTAGCATACCGTGAAAATTGTTTTACAGTATCATCACTGGGAATCCACATGCATTAAAAAACCTTCATCTCATATAATCAGGGAACAGAGATAAATTAAAAATAAAGTGACATGAAACAATTCTGCTGCATCATTTCCAGCACTTTTGCTTGCACATGTTCCATCAGTAAAATAACAGAAATATTGTTTGACCTACCCTTTACTCTGATCCTCTGCTTACTGAGAGTAACACTAAAGTTGGTACCCCACAAACTACTGCTATTCCCTTTTGTTTAGATAATGACAATGCAGTGAGGGAGAGGAAAAAAAATTCATTCTCTTTACTGAGCAAAAAATTCTCTTTTACCCTAGTCCTGTGGATGCAGCACTGTGCATTCTATATAAAGGACTGCTGACTCCTCCTGCATGCTGAGGTTTCACAGCTAAACTGTCGTGGTTTAACCTGGCTGGCAACTAAGCGCCACGCAGCCGCTCGCTCACTCCCCCCCTCCCTCAGTGGGATGGGGGAGAGAATCGGGAAGAAAATAAAAGGTTAGAGCCGAGGGCTGAGATAAAGACAGTTTAATAAGAGAAAATAATAATAATAGTAATAATAAAAATGGTAACAGAATATACAGAATATACGAAATTAATGGTGCACAATGCAATTGCTCGCTACCCGAAGACCGATGCCCAGCCCGTCCCGAGCCGCAATCAGTCCCCGAGCTGCGATCAGTCCCCGAGCAGCGAACAGTCTCCCTGCGACCGACCGACTGACTAACCCCCCCCGAGCATGACGTTATATGGTATGGAATAGCTCATTGGACAGTTTGGGTTAGCTGTCCTAGCTGTGCTGTACTCCCAGCTTGTTATGCACCTGGCCGAGCAGGAGAAGCTCAAAAAGTCCTTGAGTAGTCTGAGCACTGCTTGGCAACAACTAAAAACATCAGTGTGTTATCAACATTCTTCTGGTACTAAATCCAAGACACAGCACTATGCTAGCTACTATGAAGAAAATTAACTCTATCCCAGCCAAAACCAAGACATAAACCCTGGCAAAAATGGCAAAGGTAAGAACAGCTGAGTGCATGGAGCACTGGCACACAATGTAGCACATGCGTAGCTCCTTGTAGGCAAGTATGTTTGCAAACATAGTTTGTTGGTCTACCAACAAAGTAGCAGAGGGGAAACTTGGAGTGGTTGTTTTATTATCTAGCTCTTTGATAAGTTTCCTGAAGAAAGCCTATAATGTACTTGGAAGCTTTCAAATGCTAAAACATTTATGCATAAAAATATTTTGGTTTTACTTTTCTGTCTGGCTAGTTTCCCTTTGAGTTTGTCAGCTGCTGAAAGAGACCTAAAGTTTATATATTCTTAGACTTCTAAGAGGTACAGGAAAATAAGCCTGAAGTGCTCTATTCCAAACAAATGTAATAAAAATCACCAAACAATGCCACTGAATTTAAGTATCTCTAACATGATTTTACTGCTGCTAAGATACAGCTGCCCAACAGAACCTAGAGTGCTCAATGATTAACGTGGGTTAGACACAATGGTCTTGTTTTTTTCCTGTATCATTAAGAGAGGTGAAGGCTTCAGCACAATTCAGATGTAGAAGAATTATTCCTTCCTTTGTCCGTATTCTACATTGCAGAAGATTTCTAGGAGCCCAGACTGGGTGCAGGAAATGGGCACAAAGTTGAATGATTGTGTGGTACATAGAAGCTGTCGATGCAGCTTTCAGTCAAAGAGCAATTTGGGTTTCACTTTCTTCAAATGCTCCCAGAAACTTGTCGTGAAGCTTCTGACAGGCTATTTCCAGCATGAAATCATGACAAAAGTTGCCCCCAACTTCCCACGGTCCCAAAGGGACATCCACCTGTTGTTTGCAATACTAGAGAAATGAAGACAACCAGTAACTGCATGTGCATGTTATAGAAAATGGACATAAGGGCTTTGCTAGTCTTTGGGCCTGGTAGAAGTGTCCCTATGGACCTCTGCAGTCTTTGGATTGTTTTGTACAACCTAGGCAAAACAGTGCCAGCTTTCAAAATACTTTCTAGTGCTACTGGGTTTACTTCTATTTTATTGAAGATCACTTTCTTTGAGGACACAGACTTTGAGGATGCTCCTGTGAAGCCACCATAGACTAGCCAGACCTGAGCTCCCACTTCAACTGCTGCAACTCTACCAAGGTGGAAACTGACTGCTGGATGATCTATGAATGTCCTAAATGCATAGGCCATCAGCACTTCCCGAAGAAGGGAGAATATCCTGACTACCAGCACTGGATGGGCTTCAATGACTCCATTAGGTCTTGTTGTATCATCACAGCAGTAAGTTTTCCATATTGCCTCCATGTATGTTACTGCCTCTATTAGAATCAGAGTACTACACCCCATTTTGACAGCTCTGGCACAAGTAACAATTTCCCCAGAGACCTTTATGTGGAAGGAGGGCGGTAGAAAGGACACTTACCAAGTCTACCTAATGGGGTTTAGATATGTGGAAGGAGGGCGGTAGAAAGGACACTTACTCCCATAGAGTACCTCCCATAGAGGTAGATAAGTCAGTTGGGATTCTCAGCCAAATGAACGGTTGGTTAGTGCTTGGGGGGAGTTTATATATTGATTTTTATTTTAATAGTATGTTTATCTATTATTTTATATATAAAAAAGCCCTTAACTTCACCAATCTTTTCAAACAACTCTGACTATACATGATCTACACAAGAAAGTTTAGTACAGAGCTGAGAGCCAAAACACGTCTCCCATGCCCCAGTCAATGCTCTTCTGCCAAGGTAGGCAAAATTGGTGACTACACTACTACAGAGGCAACCTGAGACATCCTATTGTAGGAGACATCACCACGTATCTGAGCTGCAAATGAAGGCATATTTGCTTCATGATAGATTTTTTTCTGAATACTTTGGCCCAGAATAGATCTGTGTTTTTCCCTCCTAGACTCATTCCCTGGAAGAGTTTTACTAAGAGGGGAGAGGTTGCCAAGATGTGAAAGATTTCAGTACTCACACATAAGGCTAAGGATTTGAGATTTGGCCCAGAAATAACCTTGATGCTGGAATGTGTCCCTCCAATGTTCATGGAAAATTAAGTTCATCCATGTTGTAAGCTTTATGTACAATTCACAGTTTCCCTGTCCAGTAGAAGCTTCATAGATCATCATCACAGTAAGTTTCCAAATTCATTCCATCTGCGTAGGATAACACAGCTATTTTATTCACTGACATGCAGTTCTGGGCTTCACCTAGCTAACACAAGTTCTGGGTCCATGTGCTGAAAGTTAGTGCACACACTCCTGTGTCCTTTCAAGCTGTAGAGGGAAAGAAGTCACAGATGAGGAGGGTGGGAACAAAATGGACTTGGGAGACTGATGGGAAGTATCTGAGAAGGAGGAGAGAAACTGAGAATTAGTAGGGGGGTAGAAAAAAATGTTAAAATTAGGGCACATTTCTGCGCACTTTCCAGATTCAGAAAAAGTGTCCAGAAAGTTTGATTCCAGAAATGTAGATAATAAAGTGTTGTTGCCTTTGGTTGTGGGGTTTTTTTAAACTGAGTAAGGTGTTGGTCTTTGCACAGCAGCATTACTCTTGTGTCTACACAACTGCACTTGAGCACCTGCAAAGACTGTATTGAGCATTGTTGCAAGAGCAGAAAGTATTTTTCTGTATCGAGTCTTTGCTCTGCTGGATACAAGAGTCAGAGACAGTCTTGAAACAGTTTATCATTTCAGTAGATGAAAAGCAAAAAAATCTGCCCACTTAAGGCTGTGCAACAAAAATAGTATCACAAAAAGCTCCCCTCTGTCCCAGCCAGAGCCTTATCTAGTTATTACATCAACATTCAGGAACAGTGAGGGCACGATTGCTGTGGCAAGCCAGGTATATCACTGAGCTTTTTTCTTACCTGCATGTAAAGGAAGTGTGGTGATCTTGGCTGGACCCCACTTCTGCTTCCTGCCCTATTGCAGTTTTTTCAAAGCAACTGCAGTTCTGCTCTCACCAGAGCAGAACAGACTCACAGCATTTCTGCTTTAAATTAGGACCCAGTGAGATTTATTCCTGCTAAACTGACTTTTCAGCACATAGTAGTGGCTATTCACTGTTGTGTTGCTAGCATCAGTATTGCATCTAACAAGCTGTAGTCACCTAGAACTGCCGCTTGACATCCTGTGCATCCATGTCTGGATTTGACTTTGCAGCCCCAGGAGCACAGCCGGCTGCAGATCTATGAGAGGAATGACTTTGGAGGCAGGATGTTGGAGTTCATGGATAGCTGCCCTTCTCTCCAGGACGACTTGCACTACAGGGACATCCAGCCTTGTAACTTGCTTGAAGGAAGCTGCATTTTCTACGAACAGCCACACTCCTGAGGACAGCAGTACCTCCTGAGGCCTGGCGAGTACAGGCGATTCACCGACTGGGATGCCATGACTACCAAAGTTGGATCCTTCCAACCAGCAGTGGATATTTCCTAACCAGCACTTTCCTAAGCTGTATGTCAATAAGTAGTGCTGTTAGCACTTTATGAAGGCCAAGGAGTCAGAGTCTATGTGGGTTAGGTTCCCATTTCTTGTAAAGCTTTTAGCCTTTGATTTAAAGCCCAGGAGAGTCAGAAACTGTCTTGACTACAGTGGGCTTCACAGCCTGTGCTTGCTTTACTGGTAGGAAAAATTCCCCTGAAGTCAGTGGAAATGGACTGGTAATGAGGAGCACCCAAGCTCAGAGGAAACCTGCATCTAAATTGCCAAGCCAAATTATTTGCTGTTTCAGATCAATTTCGAAATAGCATCTTTGAAGAAAAATATTATTGCAGACCTTAGAGGAAAAAATGAAATACATTAATTTATGATCATGAAAATCCAAAAATGCACCTGTAACTGAGCCCATGGGACCAACTCTCTGCTTGAATTTATTATAGGATGTTCCTTCCATCTTGAATGGTCCCATAAAAGCAATGTCCTTCTCAGAAGTAGTTATCCGATGAAGAGTGGCAAGTTCACAGCCACAGTGTCATCACGGAGATACTGCGTACCAAGCCTGCAGCTGTGACACTAGGTGACTTCAGACAGAGCAAAACATTTACAGTATTTGTCATCTTTATTAAGAGTTATTTATGTCAACAACAATTTGTAATGCTACAGATATCAAAATAAGTCTTTCAGTTGCTTATTCACTTCATGATGGAAAAAAACCAACCCAGTCCTGGTGCTCAATAGTTCCTGCTGCCATTTGCTATTAAGTCTGAAGTTCTGCACAGGACTACATTGCTCCCATTTCTAGTTCAGGCCTACACTATGCTCTTTTGTTTAGCCAGGACCTCACACTGTTTGCAGACATGAACTCATGTTGATCCTCCCTAGTAGAGAGAAGTAGCAGCTTTCCCTAGGGTCTGGGATTAGAAACCAGAAGAGAGACGCATTATGTTACTGAGCCTACAACCAATTCAGTGTGCAAGTGGGCCCCCACAAGTCTTACACATACTTTAAGGGCACACTGTTTACACAACACTGCAGGATCTTTAAAACTCTGCTTTCAGGTTTTACAACACTAGCCATCATTCAGGTCTCTATGCCCTTTCTGTGTCAGAAGTTAGGCTAGCACAGTCCCCGGAGGATTCACAGGGTCACAGGGAAGGGCACAGCCTTGGTTTCACAGCCTACTCAGAAGCAGGCACTGTGCTGCAGTCAACATCTAACTTCTGGGAGGCCACAGTGCTTACATTTTGCAAGAATCCCACCTCTAGCAGCAGCTGGAGCTTTCCTAAGACCATTTGCTTTCCGTTACTTTCCTTCATTTACACCCTTCCCCAAACCACAAGGAGTTAACCCGCCAAATCTGACAGAGTGCCCACAGGTCCCAAGTTGCTATAGCACGAGTCCTTGGGACAACCTCACGCTGTCAGCTGAGAGCGAACTAAGTTCAGACAGATCACCACAGACTACCAACACCTACACATCCTTAAACCTTGGTTGCTGCCATGTTTTTTTTTTTTTTTCGTATCACAGTGATTGCTTTCAGGAGCCATGCTGCAGATCCAGATCTGCTGAGCACTGCAGCATAATGAAATCATTCATCAGGCAACTTCTGAACTAAAGCAGAATGATTTGAAGTGCAAGTATGGGAACTGCACTGATCACTAGCAATAAGATGGTGGACAGTAAGGGATGGTTTACTTTGAGTGAAAAGTCAGTTTTGGTGGAGGAAGGAGAATGCTTTTACAATGCAATCTTGTGCAGTAACAACTGGTGCCTTAGAGCATCTGCAAAATAAAGACACCTGTAGCACAAGTCTACATGTGCTAGCTCTAGCATAGCTAACCTATGTGACAGCAGAGGAGAGGGGCATTTCTAAGCCTGAACACCCATCCATGAGTCTTTACCAGCTGTTAGAGCTTGTAAGAACCCAGGCAGACCTAAGCATATAAACTAGATATTTAGTTGGGAAGAGTCTTTAAGAGGTAACCTACACAAGAACATTCCTAGCACAGCTGCAAACTTAAGGCCTCTGATAAGGAAGCCTATGCTACAGAAAAGGAGCAGAAGAGATCAAGTCTCTGGCTGGGCCTTTTACAGCAGGGGATTCATTATATTGAAGGCCCCCTGTGGAAACAAGCTGAAAGGACAGAGGAGGACAAAAACACTTGCCAGGATCCCAGGCTACCCTGGGGTAAATTGTTTCCTGAATTTAGGACTGGTGAATGGTTTAACCCTGAATATATGAAAGCAGAGCAGCCAGGGGCCAGAGGGACTTAATACTATTAGCCAGACCATCACCTCCAAGCTTTAGCTGTGACCGGTCTCCAACACTTTGAAAGAAAGCAACTAAAATCCCTAGATACCAGCTTATGTGTCAAGGGGCAAACAAATTCCTTCCCATTTCCAAATTTTGCAAACAACAAACAAGCCCTGAACTACCTGGGGTACAATGTGAATATGGTGACAGAAGGAAAGTTAAAGACTAATTAAGTTTGCTGGCTTACCTTATAGAACAATTGCACACTCATTTTGTTCAATCATAGCCAGAGAAACTCAAGGCAAGCTGACCCTGTGCTACCCTCAGCAAAACACCATCTCAGAGGCCTTGGCATCTTGCAAGGGCCAGCTTGCTCCTTTCCAATAGCCACACCAAATGCAATCTCCGTTTAATTTGGCCTGGATGCCTAGAAACTACCATCCACAGATTCCTCTTTCTTCACCTACAGCAAAAGGTATTTTGATAGTGGGAGTTTTACACCCAGCTGTCAAGGCGACCTTCTTACTTATAATGTAAAAATTACTCCTTTCTTCTGTGCAAGGGTCTGTTTCTAAAGGACAATGGAAGAGTTGAGAGACAGGTTCATTTCTAAGCATATTTCAGGTCTTCATTGTTAGTAAACAAAGCATTAGCCCTAAGACATCAAGCAAAACCTCAGATAAAAGCTTTGCCATAGACCTATCTCGGCACGATTTTTGCTGGCCTGGGGCATGATCTTAGTAGAAGCCTTAGAGCCAAAAAACAGGTTTGAGAATATCTGAAAGTCAGATATAGATTATTGACTTTTTCATTTGCTTCTACAGAAAATCCATATAGCTTAACAAAAGCATTACCATAAGGTGTGTGGTTTTTCCTGCCACTGCAGAGGTCCCTGGACTCAAAGCTGCAATCCAATGCAGCCCATTCCTTTGCTCAATCTTTCCTTAACCTCAAATTCACTTCTCCCTATCCACACCCTTCTCTCTACCCATTCTGTTACCTGAACTTGCTGACTGACAAGTTCAGTCCATAGTAAGATGACTGAGCTACTAACATACAACTGCTGAAGATAAAGTACAGAACCACAAGTAATGAATGAAGCATGAGAAACAACCACTGCTGTAAACAGTTACCACAAGACAGTAGCTAATGGACAATGAACTACAAATGAAGCCTGCCTACCTGGCTATTTAAGGTCCATGAAAAAATTGGTGCATAATTATGGAAGAAAAGGTAATGAAAAGTCTAATAATTAACTTCCACAGTTGGATCAACCCATAAACACATTTTGAAGTGCCCATACATAACTGGTAATGCTTCTTTTTATGTCATCCTCCATTCTTTGACTTCCATATCCTTAGCTGAGCCTTTATGAAGGTAAGTACACTAAAATACAAATTCACCTAGAATTAAACAACACCTGTTGGGGCAAAGGTACACCCTACCTTTCTCCACTGATCTCTCTCATTATTGCTCATATTTGCATCTGAAAAAGAACTCACAGTGAATACTGAATGGCTGTCTGTACCCCCAGGGAGAGACTAAACTTGACTCGCACCCAGTGATGCAGACATCCACAGAGCCACCTTAAGAACTTTACAGTGAGCTACCTGGCTTAGGAAAACCTCTAGAAGGTCAGACCAGGAGATGGCTCACCCTGTATGCCACTGGAACAGACTGTTCCGTTGCAAAACACAAATGCCTAACTTTCCCTTCAGAGCACCTATATAAGGCAAGAACTGCCTACACAAGCAGCAGTGACTGCCTAGACCCACTGGGATAACTATGTCACTACAACTCCGGCAGAGTGGAAAATGGCTGCTTTATAGTCTTCGAGCATCCTAACTACGTGGGCAGCAGCACCTAACTAGGGAGGAGTCTCCCATTTCTATCAGAGGATGTTTTTTTTGTTGCTTCACTAGAGCTTGTTGCAGGACTTCTGTATGTGGGAGGAGCTGCTGTCACTTGCAAAAGTCAGTAATGCAAGCAAGCAGAGCAGTATCTCAAGAGAGGATTAGGGTTTGTACACAGCTTTGCTTGGGCCTGACTTCTTTGAAGGGAGCAAGTTGTAAGAAAAGTTTGAAACAGGCTGTTGTTTAGTCTACAAAAGGCTGTAAGAAGATGGAATAAAAATCTGTAACTCAGAAAGCATGCTGCAAAGAGCTTCCTTTTCCCCTATTACTGTGGAAGGGACAAACAGCAATGGGTTGCATTTGCTTCAAAGGCAATGCAGGTTGGCCGTTAGGGAGGAGCAGTAGCTCAAGCCCTGAGCTAAGTCCCTCAGGGAGGAAGCAGAATCTCTTCGGTTCCTGGAGGCTGTTCACAGAGAGGGGTCCAGGGTGGTTTAAGCATAGCAGCCCCTGCCCTGGGGACAGAGCTGAACTCTGAGCTCTTGTTTATTTCTTGATGGAAAAAATTATGTTGCCACCTCAAGGCAGGAGACTATTGTGGCTAGCAGCAAGTACCAGAGCACATGTATCACACGACTAAAAATAATTTTACAGACTCATTTTTGTTAGTGTCCTTCCATCCGTGCTAGGAACTATGTTTAGGTATTGCAGTAAAAGATACTTCCTCCACTCCCACACTGCTGATCCACACGATACAACACCAAGCACAGATTATCCCCTAACTTTTTCCAGGGAAACATCACTGATCTTTTAAAAGCAAGACAGATATGCAAAAGTATGTTGCAGGGACTGATGTCTGACTGTCTCTGGGCTCCTGGTGACACTTAATGCAT